TTAGACTTACTTAAAACAGCAATAGAAGGAACTTACGTTTAAGTGCTGTATATGGTCTACTTTAGTTCTTAAAATCAATATAAACCAAAGTTTAATACCGACATTAATGATAATATTATAGAGCATCAGATGCTTTCAACACCGGTGCTAACAAATCAGCTTCCATGTACATTGCTCACAGTCTTGTCTTATCCACTTGGATTTGTGCAAGCATCTGTGGTGCTGATTTCGAGGTACTCGCTCGTACATGATTTCATTTTGCGTACGTAGTGTTGTTGTTGTTATTGTTGTTGTTGTTGTTGTTGTTGTTGTTGTTGTTGTTGTTGTTGTTGTTGTTGTTGCTGTTGTTGTTGTTGTTGTTGTTGTTGTTGTTGTTGTTGTTGTTGTTGTTGTTGTTGTTGTTGTTCTTCTTCTTCTTCTTCTTCTTCTTCTTCTTCTTCTTCTTCTTCTTCTTCTTCTTCTTCTTCTTCTTCTTCTTCTTCTTCTTCTTCTTCTTCTTCTTCTTCTTCTTCTTCAAACTAATTTATTAAGTGATTTATTGAGGAGTGGGGGTGATGGTGCTCAAGCCTTAAAAAAAGCAAAAAACTCTCTTACTAAAGAATCAAATCTGGGCCTACACCAAAGGCTTTGAGCTGCTCCCAAAGGATGATGTGGTAGCGGGAACCATGCATAACATCGTTTTTTTAGTTGGGAAACACGTGCTTCTACCATGTTTCAAACGTGAAGAAGGTCTGTCGACATGTTTGTTGCGATTTCCCTTTATAATTTTCCGCCAGTTATAAAATCGATCGCAGTATCAGGATTCTAAATTTGACTTTCACACACCTCTTTATGCGTCCAGTAGCTCTGTATTGATTTCGCTAAATGCTGACTTTGGTTGTGTTGAAGGTCTGAAGTTCTCACGAATAGATAATGTCACGTTCCACGTCATTTCCACATCACCTGGGGGATGCATAAGCAATACGAAATAGGTCCCATGCGCCAAGACGAGTCTGAGTCATTTAACTTTAGATGTTCTATATTGTTAACCAAGCATTTGAAGTCTTATTAAGGAGCTACATTTATGGTAGGATTTTGTTTATGGCTTGCTCTCAGTCTTAAAACGCTTGATCATATCAGTTTCCCCTTTGCTGGATTTAGCTGAGGGGTTTCCAGGCATATTGAATAATTATTAGGGTACATTAATTGAGGGTATCTTAACCATAACGTTTTCCGAGGCACCCCTAAAATTACAAATTTCGTTTGTGACGTCATATTAAAAATACTTTCAATGTGATTCTCAGACATACTCCCATACCCAGAGCTTGATTGCTTTCTCTGGGTAAAGTTCACGGATTGCGCTACAGGTCAATACGTTAAAGGGACTATTATAACAACATGATAATATTAATATGGATTTATGTACCCCCCCCCTCCACTCTCTCTCTCTTTCTCTCTCTCTCTCTCTCTCTCTCTCTCTCTCTCTCTCTCTCTCTCTCTCTCTCTCTCTCTCTCTCTCTGGGCGCTTTGTTGGCTCAGTTGGTATCAGGCTGGCCTACAGAGCTGACGGCCCAGGTTTGAATCCCAGAGTGGGCATTCTTGAACTGGGGGGGGGGGGGCATTTTGTGGAGTTTTCAAGGCGCTCAACCCATTTGGCCCGGTCCTATTGGAGCCAAACGTTAAATTCGGAGGTTTTCACCTCTTAAATAATAATAAGTGTTGAAAGGGACGTTACACTATCTGTGTGTGTGTGTGTGTCTCTCTGTCTCTCTCTGTCTCTCTCTGTCTCTTTCTTTCTCTCTCTCTCTCTATCTCTCTCCCCCCCTCTCTCTCTTTCTCACGCACACTCCATGTCTGTCTGTCTGTCTGTCTGTCTGTCTGTCTGTCTGTCTGTCTGTCTGTCTGTCAATAGTAATAACAGTTCGTCCGTAAATGTCTAACGATAACTAAAACATCTGCAGATGAGAATATTTCTTAAAGAGAAATTGATGAAAGGCGGTAAGATGACTTTCGGATTCTTCTTTGACCAATGAGGCCAGTTCTCACAGAATTTTCCTCACTTAGAGCATTGGCCATGGCTACAATAAAGGCTATAATAAAAAAAACAAACCCCCCCCCCCCCCCCCCCCCCCCCCCGTTTTAGATCTCAACGCTTGTTTTGCTAAAACATCGTCATCAAAATGGCGCGGTGCATCTTTTTCTTACATATCCTGTCCAAAACTAAACAAACAATACTTTGGCTTCCTAAAAAGAAAAGGAAGACAGAGGGAGAAAAATAAATAGATGTACGTTTTCAAACGTAATTCGTCGTAAAGTAGATGGTCCTTTGGAAATTGTTGTGAAATTGTACAAATTTAACGTCCTCAAAAACACTTTAAGGTATTTAAGAGTTGGGACCTCCAAATGTAAAGAACATCTCCGAAATGACTGAGCCAAGTGGGAAAGTTCAAATAACGTGCATTTTCCAAGGACACAACGTCGAACCGAGCAGAGGCTAGAACCCCGAAACCCGAAGTCGCACGATGATGGGTCCGGTGGCCTAACTACGAGGCTACCAACGCCAGTGATCTGCGGGTTTCATAAAAAGAAAAGCGAAGAAGAAAAAAACGGCAGATTCACGGGGAGGGGGGGGGGAGGGGTAATACTAATTCAAAAATAAACAATGAGCCTTTGGTTTCGTTTAAAAAATAGGCTTACAGTGGAGAAAATAAAGATGAGCAGTTTGAAACATAATACTTGTCAAAAAGAAACATATTATGACCTTTTGGTTTCATTAAAGGAGAAGCAAATTAGAAATAGACGCAAGGAAGTTTGGGAACAAGTGTCCATAAGTAAACAAATGATCCTTGTTGAGGTCATTACCGTCTTAAATTAGGCATTCATGGGAGACATGTTGTGTAACTCAGTTGTCACGAATCTCTCAGTTCAATAGGTTGGCCTGTTTTTCGAAGCAGATTGAAGATGATCAAATTTCTCCAGCACTTTCTTTTCGTCAGCATACCATTATGATGAAACCCATTGGGCAAAGTATAAATGGCTGGGGCGATGCTACACCTCGTCGAGTCTCTAACTGCCAGCTTGTGATTTCTTTCGGCTCAGACCATTCATTGCAGGTAAGAGCTTGCTACTAGCTTCAAGTGGCGTGGTCGTGTTTTATTTACTTGAGGAGACCTGGAAAATTGTGCTGAGTTTGTCACTTTACTTTTGACGAAAGCAGGGTATGAGAAAAGCCTTTAATTCTAAAATGTACTCGCGTGTTTTCACGGTTACAGTGTTAGAATTTTATACTGCTAGGGTTACTTCCAGTTTTATTTCGACTAAAGAGAGTTCTGTAAAGGGCTTCGTTCTACGAAGTGAAAAAGGCGAAATATGCTTTCAAATTATTTTAGCTTCTTCCCTTGGGGTGCATATCATAGCCGAATTTTTTTAGTTTCACCCTGAAACTGAGACAACAAATTAAGCAGCAATTCTCCAAACTTCTGTATGGCAAGGGATAATACAAAATGAAAGTCGCAATTTTTAATAGTAAAGATGCAGTTCACAGGAACTTTTACTCAAAAGTAGTCTATGTCGTTTCAGTAATTTTTAAAAATATTTCTACGAATTCCTTTGATTAATTCCTTTGATTAAATTTGAAATCATGAAGTTGTCTTTTCTTGTACTTTGTTCTTAAAGAAACCAAAAGATCATTTCTTTGCTTCAGAACATACTGAAAAACGTGTACCATGTCATTTTGATGGCGTCGTTATAGCGAAACAAGCATTGGCATGTATGGAAGGTTTCATAGTATTTTATAAAAATTGACTTTATTGTGTCACACAGGACAAAATACTAGACCCCATAATTATGAAACAAACTAATGTCGATAGTCTGTTTTCTAAGCTCAGAAGAACTCAATCTCATGTCGCTAGAAAGCCTGATTTTGGAACCCTAAAGACAGTATTGTATTAATTCTGAACTGTCCCCGAGGAAGCATAAAGTTGGTGCCCCACAAAAAGTGCAATACAGACTCCCTAAAATGACTCTGAAAGACTTCAAAACGAATCCCTTGATATTGAAAAGACTCCTTCCTGACAGGCCCAATTGGAGAGAAACGATCACAAAGGGCAACAAAGTATGTCTGAGATTTCACGATTTAGAAATACTGAGCCAAGAGAGAAAGCCGTGAGCTGCAAACATCCGCAAGTAGAAATGAAACCTTTAGATTCTCGAAATATGTGACAAACCCCTTTTAGCCAGACTGATTTTCTTCGGCTATCGCAGAAACCAAAAGTCGTCTGCTCTTTATTTATTCTATTTCTTTTTAAAAATATATTCTCCTCTGGAGAAGTATTAGTCATCGTCAGATATTGACAGACGAACTGTTATTATTATTATTATCATTATTATTATTATTATTATTATTATTATTATTATTATTATTATTATTATTATTATTATTATTATTATTACTATTATTTTTATTATTATTGTTGTTGTTGCTGTTATTATTATTATTATTATTATTGTTGTTGTTGTTGTTGTTGTTGTTGTTGTTGTTGTTGCTGATGCTGTTGTGCTTGTGCTTTTTCTTGTTGCTCTTGTTGTTGCTCTTTTTTAAATTATTATTTTCTTTCTAAATTAAACTACTGTTGTAACAATACTTGATGACCGGTATTTGTGCTGTACTGTAATAGTTGAGCTCTTTGCTGTTGTTTACAAAGTGTCAGTTCCCCATAGAGTGAGTCAATTCTTAGTGAGTCTCTCCCGTCTTTCTGCTGGAATACAGTACCCAATACAGCCGCTATTGTCCCTGACAGGGTGGGTCGAAGCGGCCAGTCTCCTTAGTCATCTAAATTGTGTTAATAGATGCTCAAAACATTCTTATTGATGATGATGATGATGATGATGATGATATCAAGTAAAAGACCAACCAATGCTGTCTCCACTCCCTGTAACTTGCAAGCACTTCGTAAGTAAACTGTACTAACTACATAACCTGAGCTCTAAGCACGTCTGCCTTGGTCTCTGTAGATAACCCTTCTGCTTGATTGAAGAAACCAAGCAACAACCAACCATGGGAAGAGGAGCTCAGGGGGAGAACTCTGAGGCCAAGGTGTCAAGGCCACTGAAAGAGGTGACCTGGGGAGAGGTCAAGGAGAAGACGTCTAAGGATGCCATGTGGGTGGTCATCGACAATGAGGTGTACAACATCACCAACTGGGTCAAGAGGCACCCAGGAGGGGAGAGGGTGCTCAAGCATTACGCCGGACAGGATGCCACGGTAACAAGTTGTTTAGAAGAAGTGAAGTTGCGCCCGACCCCCTCCTCCCTCCTTCGCCTTAATTTCGAACGTGACTGAGCAAGTGAGCAGAAAGTGCTCAAACACTGCCGGACTCCGATATGATATGTTATGCTATGATATAAGAATTTGTTTGGTAAAAGCAAAATTTTGCGCCCCCGCCCCCTCCTACCCTCTTTCCCGTTTTTTATAACGAGCCTGACCTAGTGAGCAGATCGAGGGTAACCGGGGGCGATGAAGAGATGAGGATGGGGAAGGGGGTCATAGTTGGGTTTCAGCTTTGTCTTATAAGAACAGGAAATAGTTGGGGGGAGGGGGGGAGGGGTTCGGTTGTCATGATGAACAAAAGATCAACATGTGGCAAACTCTTCTCTTCCTGAATTGGTCTCATTGGTCATAGCAGAAGCCGCAAGTCATCTTAACCTATAATTAATTCTTCTAATTCTCCTATTTCGCTTGAGAAATATTCTCTTCTGTGAATGCATTGGTCTTCGTCGGACACTGCGGACGAACTATTGTTACTGTTCTTATCATTATTATCGTTATTATAATTATTATCATTATTATTAACTGATGTAATCCACCGGCATACGTAAAGTAGCTGTTAAGCACCTCACCGTCGCAAGCAGAAGACGTGAGTTCGTTTCCCGTATTGGGAAAATTTTTTATCGAGTTTATTCGTCTGTTTGCTGGGACCGTGTATCTGTTTCGACCTGGATTGGTCATGACAGGCAAAGTCGAAGTAGTCCACCTCCTAAATTCGCAACTGCGTCAATGATTGTGTAAAATACCAACAATTTTACAACCGCATGTTTTCCTAAGAAAAGGTTTCGATTTTTTATCAACCAGAGAATGGAAAGAAAACGAATTACCAATCTAATTGAGCAGTGTAGATGTTATACTTGACTGTGGTGCGTGTGACCTGGGCACGAAATTCAAAGAGATCATTTATAAAAACCTAGTAAAAGAATTCTTAATCATTTGTTTCTACATTATATTTTTGCTTTGTATTTAGATAACGCTTTTCTTGATGTTTTTGCGGCTTCCACAAACAAATAAACAGACACAACATGAGCTAAAGAGCAGCATTTAATTTTTCTTCAAGGCCATCGCTTTATCACAAAAGACACCATTGTAATTTGTCATTCTGCCTAGAGAAACAGTTAGTCAGATATTTTTTTATGTAATTCCTTAACATCAGAAAGTAAGTAATAAATTGCGAGCGAAAGTTTTCTTCGAGTTCTTGTGTTGCGCCAGAGAACGTCCAGCGGCGCCTGTGGTGTAGCAATCAGAAACTTTGCTGTCGCACACAGGAAACCCGAGCTCGATTGCCTAAGGGGGAGAATTATTTATCGAGTATCTCGTTCATTCTCCTGGGATATTGTATATCCCTTTCAACCCGGGTGGGTCCTGACAGGCAGGGTCAGAAGCCTGTCTCCTGAATAGTCTAATGTGTCGGTGGGGACGTAAAAACATCTACATTCAAAAAGATAGAATTGAGAACGACTTGATGAGTCGTTCTATTGATTTCACTTTTTCTATCAAGTAACTATTTATTGTTTTTCAGCTCTTGCCATAACAGTCCAGTATTTCACATGTCTATTAAAATATTAATCAGGTTTTTCTGGAAGTAGGCTTTTAATGTAGAATAATTATTTTTTATTATGCCGGGGCATGGCATTTCTGTTTTCTATTTGACTATTTCCACAAGTTTCAATACCACTTATCTAAAATATCCATTAAAAAAAGAGTTGAAAGACCCCGAACACTATTTCTATAATTCAGGTTTTGAAAAGGTTTCGAATAAAGGTTTCCCTCCTCTCTGTTCAGGGTCTTTCCAACAAAACGAAATAATGGTCCTATCATAAGCGTGTCTTTTAAATCACAGTTCAGTAAAACGTGTGAATTTTTAGGTATTATTTAAAAAATATGCTGCGCTCTTATTTCTGAATTAAGTTGTGCGTTCTTCTGTTGATACATCTATTTCTTAAACCGGTATTTTACCAACTGAAACAAAGGAGTGAAACAGTTGCTTTGGTGTTTTAATGTTCAAATAACGTGTGTATTAATACGTATATATTGTTATGATATTTGCATCCTTTGATTTGTTCCTATAATGCCTCAATTTTGGGGAGTCTTATTATAGCACGATGTTTATTATCTCAGGACGCTTCCAAAGCTTTCCATAATGACCTCGGGCTAGTGAAGAAGTACATGAAGCCCATTCACGTGGGCTCGGTCAAGGAATCTGAGCAAATCAAGGACGAAGTGGAAAATGACTTCAGAGAAGTGCGAGAAACTGCGAGAAAGATGGTAAAGAAACTGTTGGTCGATTCGTCGTCGCCGTCGTCGTCGTCGTCGTCGTCGTCGTCGTCGTTGTTGTTGTTGTCATTATTGTTGCAGTTTTGGTATTTTGTTGAAATACTTTCGTTGTCATTGTTGTCATTGTTGTCATTGTTGTTGGTGTTGTTGTTGCTGTTGGTGGTGGTGGTAGTTGTGGTATTGTCGTTGGCGTCGTCGTTGTTGTTACCTTTGTCAGTGTGGCTGTTTCTACTTACGAATGCAGTAAACAGTTGTCAGTCACCGTCGCTGCCTTTTTACTTCTGCTGCTGCAGGCACTTATAGCGCCTTTGATGCTGGCTACGATAGGCTAGGGTGACAAAGGAGTGGCCGTGGTCCTCATCGCAAAAATTGAATAAAACCTTAACCATTTCCCTGTTCTTTTTGTTTTCTTTGGAAATTATGAGGTGCCCTGTCCTTGAAGAAGAAGAACACAGTTAGCCTCCCCCCCCCCCCC